GGGGCAGGGTGCCAGGGGACAAGTTTCTGCAGGGGGGGCAGGTTTCTGCAGCGGGGTGGGGGGGCAAGGGAGAGGGAACAGGGGGCCAGGAGGGCAGGGGACAAGTTTGGGGCAAAGGAGAGGGAACAAGGTTGGGGGCAGGGAGTTCACTACACCAGCCACGGAGGGAAGCCTCCGACCCGCGCTCCCTCCGGACTACCGCAGGGCAGCCGGGCTGGAGCGAAGAAAAGCGGCTGCCCGGCCAGCTGGCTATGGTGCTCAGCCAGGGTGCCACCAAGCTCCACGTGGGCAGGCGCAGAGGGGAAGCCGCCCAATCAGCTGGAGCACGGTTCAGCCTCCTCTGAGCTGAACGCCACAGCCAGCAGGCCAGGCAGCTTCTCCTCTGCACCAGCCCATGTGGAGCGTGGTGCACCCTGGCTGAGTACCATGGCCAGCTGGCCAGGCAGCTGCTTCACTTCTCTCCAGCCCACTGCCCTGCGCTCAGCCCAGGGAGGCTGCGCCTAGTTCCAGCTGTGAAAGCCAGAGTCAGCTGGCTGGGGTGTTTCAGCCCTCCCGACCTCCCAGCTCCCACCATTCCTCGCAGCTACTCACCTGTGTTGTTGCTCAGTGAGTAGCTGCTCCTCAAATGAGGAAATCTAATGTAAATGTTCTGCGCAGTTGCGAGAGGGCTCAAGAACTACTTTTAGAGCCTCCGAGATCTACCGGTAGCTCACGATCTACTGGTTGGTGACCATGGCTCTAGAAACTAAATTCTGATTATATGGAAGCAGCAGAGGGGTAGCCAAGTTAGCCTAACAGGAAAAAACTTAAATAGTCTAGTAGCAGTTCAAAGACTAACAAAACATGTAGATGGTGGTATGAGCTTTCATGGAACATTAGGTTGCATTAAGAGGAATACTGCCAGCAGGTCTACAGAAGCGATTATTCCCCTTTATTCGGCTCTCGTGAGGCAACATCTGGAGTATTTTGACCAGTTCTGGGCTCCCACCTATAGAAAGGATGTGGACGCATTGAAGAGGGTCCAGCAGAGGGCAACTAAACGATTAGGGGGCTGGAGCACATGACATGAGGGATTTGGTCTTATTTAGTCAGAAGAGAAGAGCGAGGGGGATTTGATAGCAGGTTCCAGAGAGGATGGAGAGGCACTGTTCTCAGTAGTGACAGACAGTAGAACAAGAAGCAATGGTCTCACATTACAGTGGAGGAGGCTTAGGTTGGATATTAGGAAAAACTATTTCCCTAGAGGGTGGTGAAGCACTGGAATGGGTTACCTAGGGAGGTGGTGGAATCTCCATCCCTAGAGGTTTTTAAGTCTCAGCTTGACAAGGCCCTGGCTAGATTGTTTTAGTTGAGATTGGTCCCGCTTTGGGCAGGGGGCTGAACACGATGACCTGCTGAGGTCACTTCTAGCCCAAGGATTTTTATGATTGTTTTAGCAACTAGTCAACTATCCAATAAGTCAGGGGTCTCCAACCTTTTTAACCACAAGATCACTTTTTCAATTTCAGTGCAATGTAAGATCTACCTCAAACCCAAATACCTTCGCCCTGCTTCCTTCCTGACCTTCTCTGAGGCCCTGTCCTTGCTCCACCCCTTCTCGTAGGCCTCCCTCTGCTCACTCCTCCCCAGACCTCATTTACCAGGCTGGGATAGGAGGCTGGGGTGCTGTCTGGTCTTGGGCTAAAGGGTTCAGAGTGTGGGTAGGGCTGTGGGCTTAGCCCCAGATATGGGTTTGGAGGCCAGTAGGGGGTTCAGGATGTAAGCTCTGGGAAGGAGGTTGGGTGCAGGAGGAGGTTCAGGGCTGGGACAAGGATTCAGGATGCAGGCTCTGGCTGGGCACCACTTAACTGAGATGGCTTTAGAGTAGTGGAGCAGTGGGGTTAAGACAGACTTTCTCCTGCACTGGCCCTGCAGCACTCCTGAAAGCAGCTGGCACATATAGCAATGGCTCCATGGTGCCATGTGCTGCCCCTCATCTGCAGGCACTGAGCCCATAGCTGCTAGTGGCCACAGTTCCCCATTGCTGATCAATGGGAGCTCCAGGAGTAGTATCTACACGCAAGGACAGCATGTAGAGATGCCTCTGCTCTGCCTTTCTCATGGGCTGTAGGGACATGCCAGCCATTTCATTATGGCAATTGCTGCTCCTGGACAGTTCCCCCAGCCATGACAGGTTAGACCACCGTTTCCCAAACTATGGGGAAAAAATACTGGGCCAGGAGGGGAGCAGAGCGGGGCGGGGTGGGAGAAAGTGGTGGCGGGAAGAAGGGAGAACCGGCTGCCGGGAAGAAGGGTTGGGGGCAGCGGAGCTGTCTTGCAAAGATCAGAGCAGGTGGGTGGGCGGCGGAAGCAGGGTTGGAGGCAGCGGCGCTGTTCTGTGGAGATCCAGGCGGGCAGGCGGCAGAAGCAGGGTTGGTGGCAATGGGGCTGTCCCGCGGAGATGGGGGGAGAGTGGCCAGCAGAAGCAGGGTT